GATTTTCACACTTGTTTATCTGAAATTTAGAGGCAACAGATTTTTCACTTTTCACTTGTTTATCTTAAATTTTCCAGTGAATTGTCAAGCTACCATAAAACAAATACTAGTAAATGCTGTCGAAGAATTGACTAGAGATCCATGGATTGTAAAAGCTCACTTAGACAAATAAACATATACAAACAGAATTTATGTTTTTTTTAATCACTAAAATATAATTTAGTAACACGTGATCCCAGATAATTACAGTTTCATAACCCTAAAGTTTATTTTTTAGCAATGAATCCAATGAAAAACTGAATTGATCTTTCTGTTTTATTACTTAGTATACCGGTCCCTAGTAAGACAGCAGTATGTTTTGATTGAATGTTTCATTGCGTGTACATTATCTTTAGTAACTGTGACAACCGCATTAGCAATTTCTTGACAAATAAAGTTTTCAAGACATTCGACTGATAATTTAACGCCAAAAATCTTTGATTAATTAAAGTGCTTGTAATGGCTCGTTGTCTTTATACACAACAGGGTAACATTTTATGGATGGTGCATGCTCATAATGTTTCTAAAGTTTTCCCTACATAGCATTAAAAGACCACTTCTACTATAGCAAATGCTTTTAATAAGTAACTTTTTTTTAATGTATTTACGTTTTCACTTATGACTGGTTTTTGTTAATTTGCAAAATCAATGCAGTTAGAAATGATATGCATGTATAGTTAATCCATATAGAGTACCTTTACATTCGAACTAAAATATAAAGGCCTAGCAATACAGATATACTTAATCCATTTTGCATTATGCGAATTGGTTGTCATATAAACCAGCAGTTCGGTATAAGAATGGAAACCTTAAAATTGTTTCATTCTCAAAAGTTAGAGTTAGTGATAATACATGCCCTGATGCCCTGATGTTCTGGTGTATTTATTTTTAATAATAATAATAAAATAATAATAATAATAAACAACAGCAACAACAGTTTTATTATAAGAGCGTTGTCGCTCTCCACAAAATGACGTTTACAATACCACCATAAGTCAGTCATTTTAATACATTGCGGGATAACGCTAATTTTCCTATTTCTTTTCAAAGTAAGCGCCTGCACACTTGATCAATTCAGCTTCCAATTGTTACATCCTCCAACCAGGTTTTACTCGTATGGCAAAACTACACTTTTTGCCGCCATGAGCACCCGCAGATCTTTTCAAGCTGTGAGAACGGTGACCCTTAAAGTCTTTCGCGAAAGAAGACAAAATTAAACGAAGTTTAACCTATTGGGTAAACCGGATTGAATAGTAGGTCAAACGCGATCAAACCTACATCAAGGTTTGTCGTTTCTGTCTTATGCGGCGGCAATATTTTAAGTGTAGAATTATACGATTCCTATCAAGTGGATGGAACGCATTGCTTTAAAATATACCTAGAATTGCAGCTTTCTTCGCCAATATGAAAGTGTAGATAAATCATATTGTGTTAAGGGGTGGTATTTTAAAGAAGCATTATGGTTTTTAAAATATTCTTGTAACGTGAGTTCTTAAAAATAACAAAGAATCTCAAATATAAGTGGCCGCCAAATCAATAACCCTCCTTTTTATTTCATTATGCAAAGAAATTGCCATAAAGCAACAATTTGGTATAAATATTCTAAAGTCGTGGGAGTAAAATATTTTAAGCAAAGAAACTTATTTAAATCTATAAATTCTTACTGAATATGTCTAATTTGAACAAAAAATGTATAAACTATGTATTGGAAGCCATGTTGCATTTTACAGGACATGTAAAGGTGGTCTTTTCAAAAAAGAACTGTCAGTTTTTTTTAATGACACTATATATTCATGTTGTGACCATCAACAGTGTGTAAAGTTTTAAACATGACATATCTACTTTGTGTGAAGTCAAAACATGTTTTTTTTTGTATTTACAAAAAGACTTAATCAATATCAATGATCAATATTAACTGATATCATATTTGAGCAAAGTATTTCTTCAAATGAAGTCAACAACAACAACAGGAAAAAATAGAATAAAAAAAATGAACATATACAAATGAGACTTAAAATTGCAACATTATTATGTTAACTTACATAAATTTAGATAAACAATTAGAAAATTTATTTTCTAAACAATCGACCAATAAGTATATATCACGTTTAAATCTATGCTCAATTGTGAAGAACGTGTTAAGCTTATTTGATCAATTATGAGTCTATTCTCAAGAAACAAATGCCATATTTTCATTCTCGGACATGGAAAATAATGATCATTGGTCTCTATTTGTTGCTTAAGTAATCATGTGGAATAAGTTGTCAGAGTAATTTTTACTTGAAAGTTATCCAGGTTAGCCGGTAAGGTGAACTAATTTTCTAGATATAACTAGAAATGTGTTAAGATCGGCGTGAAAACAGAGAACCTTTTGAAGCTGTGTCAGTATTAAGTTTATCATTTATAAACAGTATATGAGTTTCATTGAGTTCTCTATTTTAAGCAAAAAGGTAAAGCTGTTTCAGTCCATCAATCCATCCTATTCCAAAATGTTTATAAAACTGTCAGAGTTGATTAATTACAATGTATGTAACAATTCTATCAATAATTTGAAGTTCCGTACGTCTGAAGCAAGTTTCTTTAAACATTATAACTCAAGTTTGAAGAAAAAAATGTTGCTCAGTTAAATTTCTTTCGAATGTGCTTCATTGAAACTAATTTGTTTTACTGTTGGAATATGTAGAAACATGGTCATGTCCTCCATATTGCACGAATCCACACTCCCTGGGTGATAGATTGATTTCTTAACCACCTGGCCACTGTTTTACCTAAATATTTCAGCTTTTAGATGTTAAATTTTTAACTTCATTGAAAACATATTTAATTAAAGAAGACGTTTCATCTCATCGGCTAGTAATAGTATTAACATTCATATTCAACATTTTAACTATATTTCTTTTTCAGGTCAACAACGAAACTACAACGCTTGTTAGATTATCCTCTTACAAAAACTAACAACAGAATCATTAAGTTCGTTTAATACAATTAATACAAACATCGAACTCAAAAGCAAACTATACTCCAATCAGTATAATTGCGTTTTCTCGCAAAACGAGGCTTGGGTTTCTGTATTACGACAACATTGCTATAAAACTTGTATATTGTTGCCATAAAGCTGTAAATTGCTCTTATTTTAGACAAATAAGTAGCAGCGGGGGTCTATTATTCAATGTAAATAAATCCTTTAAACAAAGACAGTAATGTCCTGTTAGGTAATTAAATACCAAGGCATGTATATCTTATTTATAAAGCTGCTGTAAAAAAATCACTGTTTTGCATATTTAAGCAGTAATTTATATAGAAAATGTCTTAATTATAAATACTTGTACATTCTTTATACCCCTTGGTGGCATAGGGGTTGCCTTTGAGGGTTGAAGCATCAGAATAGCAGACTGCATTTATCTCTGCGTGGTCGTAAGAGGCGACAAATAAAAGGGTTCAAATTCATTGAGTCTAAACATCTCTTAGCTCCAGTTGGTTAGGTGGTTTTGACACTTGGTGTTACTTTAAGTTTGTAACACCCGAGATTAGCCAAAATAAGTTTTCCTGTTAAGGCGCCATATCACTTTAATTGCGTCGGTGCGCCCTAAATAAGTCAAAATAAGTCCTTTATCTTACTTTGAAAAATCTATATTATGTGTTATCTAAACATATTTTAAAATGAAATGGATATCAGTATTTACTGCCAGACACATAATACATTTAATAATTACATAAATTTATTTATATAACAAAGTAAAGGTGTCGACATTTTCTTGTCAATTTTTTTTACAAGAATTCAATAAAATATTTTGTTTTATAACAGTTATATTTCGAAACAGAAAATAAGTTTGATTTTCCAAATAGATATTTTTTAACTCTTTGTTAGTGTCGTTTGCAATGTATAAATTACTTTCTTTATTCAGAAAATTATCATGTATCTAGAGGCATTCTGCTTAAAGAATAAACTTCATAATATAATATGAGCGTTTTCTATTTCGCTGAATGATGTCTGCCATAACAAAGATTTTGCTAAAAGTAGTTCATTTTAAAGAAGAATACATTCATTTTATTTACCGGTTTGTGTCTTGCTGAAGAGGTGAAATAAAGGACATACAGTACAAAGGCGCATTATTCAATACGTTTAGAAGAGTGTTTATACTAACAAAGTCATTGATAAGAGAACTGCTATCGGTAGCAGACGACAATTTTCAGGATGTAAGGACTATTTGATAGAAAACAGAGGAATTATTGAAAAATATGTGTAGGGAATTGAGAAATCCGTTTATAAGATAAAAAGGCAAGTATGTGCATTTTTGTAGCTATTTCTTGTATTTAAATGAAAGGTATATTTCATATTTGATCATTATTAATGTATAGTTATTTTCGTTGAGGTATTGAAAAATAACAAGTTCGATCTGCAACTTCAATTTGATAAATACAAAGGTCATTTAATTCAATTTGTTAGCAGTTCCCGTATATCTTTTTCTGGATGGGACGGGTATTTAAATCGTTTAAATATACGAAGTTTAAGAAAAGTATGAGGAAAGTTGGCTGTGACATTTTGCTATTTACATGTATCTAAATCATTAATTACATTCAGAAATGATGTACAAGAAATTCATTTTATACTTTGTATTCTGCACATTTATTGTTCTGTTGTTATTTGGAAAAATATAGTAGATTTGTATCGATTTGTCCAACGCATCCTTTTGAAATTTTATATTTGATACGTCGGCAAATTTTGAGATTAATTATGCTAATTCGTGTCCATTGACTATTAAAGCTCATCATGTAATAAGATAATAATTATCATAAGTGATTGTCACTGTCATATTCCATTTCTACAGGCGTTATTCCATTTATAGCAACTATTCACCAAGGAATTCATCATACTTTATATGATTTATTATAGAAAAACACACTACTGGATTCAAAGTAGATAAATTGATAAGTTTTTTATAATACACTTTCAGGAATATCTTCGTCTTGACAACAAACAACAAAGAAATAATCTAAGCACGAAATTATTTTATAATCTAAAGTTCAAATAAATATACGAAAATGTGTAACGAAGCAATGATATTGATAATAGTTACCACAATATGTGCCTCATATGTTGGTTCATCAAAAAATAAAACAGGGTTTAACATAAAAGATAACGACATAGATCACAACACAAACGCTACAGAGGTGTCGTCAAATAAAACTGTTAAAACAAGTACAACACCGGAAGATAATAGTCTGGAAATTAAAGATAACAACACAATAGAGATATACAATTTGACAACTCGTGTTGCGGATGTGAGGAATAGCTTATTTATAAGCTTAGAAAACAACTCTGCAAAAGTGAATGGCTGCTTTATTAATGAATCAAATCATATTGGAAACATCAGTACTAAATTTGAAGAGATAAATACAACAAATTACAATGATAACGGTATCGAGCCTGATGATATAAAAACAGTTACAGATACGATCCTTCTAGAAGATTTGTCAAAACAAGTACGAGACAAAATGCCACATAATAGAAAAAATGACGAACTTAAAAGTTTTATGTTGGAAAAGACGAAAGTAATGTTGCAGCACCATCTACAACTAGGTAATGGATATTTCATGTAAATATTACACAGTGTTTTAAGATTTAGAACACAAGATTTACAAAGGGCATTCAGATTAGTATTTGCAATATTAGAATTTGACACTAAATATATGACAGGCGAAATTAGCTCTAAGACAATACAATTACGTTGTTGTTAAATAAATATGGTAAAACCTTGAAGGGATTTGTAAATAAATGTTTAGTTTTTACTGTTTTACGCTTATGAATTACATGAAATATAAGACAAAATAAAATGTGCTTTAACAAAATATGTAACTAAGTTTAGTTACGTACAAGTTTATTACACTTTAACGGAAACGTACCAACTTTTTCCTCTTAATTTATGCATTGCGATATGATTTGTTATCAAAATACAAACAAATATGCTATGAATTACAAATAGATATCTACAGATAAGTCTCTTAACAGTTCAAACAGCTAAATTATGCATTTTTTAGATGTTACAATTTCTATGTCACTTATTATCAAACGTGTTAGTATTTGGCAGACATCAGATGAATCCAATTAATTTGCAGAGCGGTCCTTATTAGACGAATAAAGTTAAATAAGTTGTAAATAGAATTCTATTATATTGTTTGGCTTTACAGTTGAGATCGTATGGGCTGAAACAGGAAAGATGATTTTGGCTAATCTCGGAATTCTATAATCATTATGTTATTGTTATTAGATATAATAAAACAGTTGTTTTCATTTCATTTTAGTACCTATGGAAGATAAACCGTTCGACTCACAGATGTTACAGGTAGGTTTGATTTAAAATAAAAATAATTAATATTAAATTGATACTTATGTTAATGCAAAACGCGATTCCTCGATTCTTTTACATCATAACGTTAGACAAAATGATGCCGAAACTTGACAGAATGTATTAAATTGTTATTCTGCGTGCAATGCCACATTTGAATGAAACATATAAATTATTAAATGAAATATTTATGATATAATGTTATTTATGAATAACGTGTTTACATTGTGATAATTGTATAATTTATGGATGAAATTTCAATTATGGAAGTAGTTTTGCCAATATAATGCTGAATTTTATAGCTCAATTCAGCTAAATTAGTTCATCTAATCAAATCACAATTTCTACAACATTAAAAATGTATTTGATTAGCCATCTTATGATGTTTTAAGAAAATCTTATAAAATTATAACATTCTATCAAAAACCATTAAGATATTTAGAAATATAAAATTCTGAATGGTGCAGTTTATATCGCCCGTAATCAATATTGTTTGAAACTTGGTTCATACTGTTTTGGATAAGTACATAGAAATATTCATGAAGGCTGGTTAGGGTTCATACTGTTCCCGATCACTACACAAAAATATTCATGAAGGCTTATTAAGAATTTATATAATTTCTATAATAATAGTACAGATTGATTTGAGATAAACCCAGTTTTAGACAACATGCATTTACATATTGTTTTTAATTCGTCGAGTGACACTAGCACATATTAAACGTCCAAATGCAAACAACACAAAACAACAGCCACATTTTATTGCATAATAAGGCACCTAGCCCGAAGTACAACGTATATGAAATTTGGATGAACAGTATACATGAAGAATCAATGTAGTAATAACATGCACAATATGTAGGTTAGTTTGAATCAAATAAATCAAAATATACATTAAGATACACACTTATACTAAATGCTTTCAGAGTCAACGTTATATGATAAGTATATTGGTACCAGTTGGCGTTGGCTTGATTGGTGCCAGTATGATTGTATGCACGATAGTGACGTTAAGAAAAGTTGCAAATAAAAGAGTCGTTCACACGCCACTAGATGATGACGTAGATGTTGAAAGGTCAATGACAGCGCACATATCAAGTGTAAGTGAAATACATTTGTTTGCTGCCTGATAAGATTTGTTGGCATTCAAAAATGAAAGAAAACAAATAGAAAATTGTTGAATAAAGATTTGCTTATCTTTTTATAACCTTATAACAGACAAACAATTTTTCCTTTTCTGTAATTATTTAAATTCACTCGATGAGTTAATAATCTTTTGTAATATTTCAATTGATTGAAGCCGCTGACACCATGACTAAATGAATATAAAAAAAAGATAACTTACATCTGTAGGAATCAACTTATGCTCGATGCTATGATGGAAAAGTCAGTAACAATATGTGAATAGAATTTATCAATTTACCAACGTTTTGGTTAACGTTTTCATCGGCATGAAATTTATGTGCGCAATTTAAAATGTCTTACTTAATATATAGAAAATAAAAGCTAGTATTTTAAAAATGAAAATTTTATATCTCTTACTGTGGTGAAAGAAAACGCAAATAACAAAAATACCTACCTAGAATTATGAATATTATGTGAAACATTTATGTTATTTATCAATAGAAAGGTGTTTTGTTATCATTTCTACAAGATGTCTAAAGTTTATGAATTGAGAAAGTTTCTTAACATAGATCATCAATTGTCATTGAAATCTATGGGGATAATAAATGTCATATATATAATTCTAACTCAAATTAAAATGTGAGGAAACATTTCAGAGAGGAAAATATTGATATACATTCAATAAAGACACATTATGCCTCATAAATGAATATTTTTTCTTCTTGAAAAGGGGCAATATATGTGTTTACAATTGTTTACAATTTGATTTAAAATATAGTACATGCTTATCACAACTAATGTATTAAGGCATCATACATATTTATGGGATATTTATTAATCTTGAGTTGCCTGGTTTTATCGCAACATCTTATGCCATAACGTCGTGAAAAAACTTTTTTTTCGTCAAAACTTGATGTTTCTAAAGATATTACGTTTTACATTTCCTTCACACATTCGGGTGAAAACATGTAAGAAGATGTCAAACTCATATATTTTTCAAGCAATGCATACTTTGTTTTGTCTCTTTCACAGATCAGTGCAGATACTACAGACAAAGTGTTTTTATTGCATACAGATGAAATCTGACAACACCAATTGTTATACATAGTAATATTCCAGCTGACATCACTTTATAAATGTTTTGGAAAAACGCAATGAAATAAAGTAACTGTAGAGCACTTGACAAATATGCTAAAGTAAACTCTTGTATTGTGAGAATTCCAGACGCAAGGGTTTTTGTGACAGGATTCAGTAGTAAAACTAATCGAAATTGTATGTTTTCGAGCATCAGGTATCACTCCATGATAATTTAACTCAATTAGCTTTGAGAATTTTTCCTTTAATTAAACGTAGTAGCTTAATGATAAAATGTTGGTTTTTATGCGCAATCCAAAACATTTGCACTAAAGAACAAAAGCAAAACTGGTCTTAATGATTGATTGTAGGTAATGGGGTAATTTTTTTAAGATTACATATTCTGTTCTGAGAGGAATCACAGCTATTTGACAGATAAGAAGCCATAATGATACTTATTGTGGCAAAAAATTGTTTGAAAAAAGCACATTGGAATAAGGTATAGCAGCAAATAACTATTTAAGCAGGTAATAAGTTTTTCTATTTTTTCCCACCTGACTTATCGAAGATGATCTTTAATTTAAAGTATCATTAGAAGCAATTACAAACCAATGATGAATCCAAGAAATACATTTGTCATCAAGACAGTTTTAAACACTACGTAATGAGATTTCTTCACTTTTGTCATTAATTTTGGAATCTGTAAAATAAAAATTAACCGCAATTGTAAATTAAGAGCTTAAGTTTAGATACAGGAAAAATGATCGCGAGTGAAATTGTGTAAAAAAGAATGGGGGAAAATTTATTTTTCTTTCATCTTTTATAAAAACAAGAGCTAGCGCAGATTTTTTCATCATTACAACTTTGAATGAATTGAAATAAACATTGGTTTCATCTTTTATGTGAACCGTTTATGTACCTATAATTTATGTCATATGTAAATTCTTGATCATAGATATTTAGAACATAAAGTAGTTATCTACTCACTTATTTCCCTAATTGTGGAATAATAATGTGAAGTTCCTCTGGTAAAAAATAATAAACTAGGCACATTTTTCTTCATTTCTTATACATTTTTTATAAAGATAATTTAAATCGCATGTATATTTTAGGGAGTACATGTATATATTTTTTGTTTGACAAAACAAGCGGTATAGTGGATAAAGCTTTATTTTCAAAAACTGTCCTGTGAATTTGTATAAAAGAATGCGATGTGGGAATTACTGTGTTTTCCCCTTTATTATTGTTATTGTTAAAAACATTAAGATACAAATATTTATCACATTTTGTAAAAGCAATGTATGTATGTTGATAAATGTACCTCTTGCTTTAAATAAAGATCATCTGGCTTGCGTAAATTAAAACTTTTTCTTAATATATCTTGCTTTTCAGGTCTGTATATGCATGTATGTATTTTGTAAGTACTGTTTTGTACTTTTATTATAAATGCGTAAAGGGTTATTTTCGAGTAAAACTGAAATGATATGTTTGGTTGTTTTCAGATCTTTCAAAATATTTTCTTTATGAACGATCATCAAAAACATGCCCTTGTACTTGACTTTACAAGACGACACCGCATCCGGTACAAAACTTCTTCCGTTAAGCAACAATTAAAAAATAATTCAAAAGAAACATGGCGGTTATTGCCGTCATTTGTCAGTAACAGGAATAACTTTATATGTAATATTTGTATTGTGAATATTTTAAGTATAATGTTAATACAAACGTTTTATCACTCTCCATTTAAAGAGAATCAGTATTTTATATCTACACATGTGCCTTGGTCCCATAGCAAGTATGTCAAGAATGAGTACAATATCTGAATATCTGAATCCCAACAACAATATCGTAAGTTAAGAAAGGACATGTCTTAAAACACCATTGCGATCACGCAATTATGATAGCTTGACTGTTTTGTCCAACCAGACATGATGTCTATATCTGTTAAGAGGACATACAAAGGAACGGTTTGATTACACTCATAGAATGACTGAGTTTTGGGCAAAACACATTTTACAATGTTTTCTAGGCTTACGGGCTGTGTGCTGAAATATATATTTATGAAATAAAAACATTGGACAAGTAACAATTTGAATACAATTTAGAAAGCAGGTAAAATGTAACTTTGATGATAACTTATTATGAAACTACAAATAATTCATTGCCCTGGTTTTAATTTTGACAGCATCATTTTTTAAATCAATCGCAAAACTGATGATTAACTAATACTGCATAAATAAACTTTCATTTTGATTTGGTCTAGCTTTTTTTTTGGTTCAGCTTTTTTGTTGTTCTTACAAGTGTAACAAAAAATTGGGGAAAACAATATCGTTTGCTTAGACGTGTTTGCATTTTTTGTATGTCGATAAAATGTTGCTGGTTTTAATTAAGCGCTGTTTCAATGTACAAACACCTTATGCGCTATCGAAGGCTAATTATGTAATTTCAGCATAAACCAACTCTTTTAGACACATTAATTCAACAATCAGTAAAGCAAACACTAAAATTCAATGATTTTAAGTGTAAAATTCTCTTACATCAAAGCTTAAATTACTATGTAATGTCGTGAGATGCTCCTTTTAAGATATTGCTTCATTTTTATGAAACGTTAGCATGCAAAGTATGGTTTTAGCAAACGATATATGTTTTATTTACAAGTTCGTTAGGAATCAATATATTCTTTATTGTGTGTGTAATTTTTAATTTGACAGCTTTAGAAAACTAATAAAAGACCATATTGCTCACCAGAAAATGCAGATTTGGTTGTAAAGAAAATCTTTGATTTTCCTCTCCAAAAGACATTCCCTTTGACTTGATAGAAAGTCAAGATATTACATACAAAGTTCAATGATTAAAAATAATTTTATATCAATTTTGTTACAGCTTGAAAGAAAAAACATTTATGTAAGCACATATAATAGATATCAAACTTAGGATTCCGAAAACTTAGTTCCACTTGCGTATCAGAAAAAGTTGAATAAAAGTGATTTCCAATTTCAGAAATAGTAGCAAAAGAAGAAAGCAACCTAATTATTGTAAGCGGTGCTCAACATTAAATCACTTTAAATTTATTATTCGGAGAAACAATTCAATTTAGTTTAATAATATGCTATTGCTTTTTTCTTTCTATACAAAACAGATACAATTTTACATTCAAACATAAGACAAAACATTATCGAATTAATTTACAATATTAACATCGATGCTGAACTTGTGCATAAAAAGCAAATAGTCAGACCACAAGTTGTAACAACATTAGATAGTTGGCCCTTCCCACATTGTCTCAATAATAGTCAAAAGATGTGCATAAATTCTCTTGTATTTGAAATAAAATTAATGGATAACACCAATCAATATGATAACATTTGAAAAATCAATTTGCTTACAATAATCAAAATGAACTGACAAAACTTGAATTTGAAAAGATATAAGAGAGAAAGCAAGAATGAGCATACATGCTAAATTACTAAATGTAGTGGGCGTAAATGACTTACGCGCATGGGCCAATGATTATTAGTAAGAAACACTCATAGTAGTCTAGTGATACATTGAAATTTCTGTGCCCTCTTAAAATCTAATTCCTAACTTCTCATTTAAATTTCTGATTTGTTTTCTTTTATTTCAATGGGAATTTTTTTTTATCAAATTTTCGAAAGCTTTAGAGCAGCAAGTTTGCTTTGAAACAAATTTAAACACATCGTTCGAATAAATAAACAAAAAAACATAAACTATTTGCTTAAATGCTTTTAAGAACAACTTTTATAGCCGAGTACATTAATATTTCCTCATAATGTTTCAGTAAGAATTTTTTATAATAAAAAGTCATTACAATCCAAATAGACTGCATTAAAAGTCATTTTGAATTGATGCCTTTTCCAATTTTGCAGAGAAAGAATTGCTTGAAAACCAATTTTTCTTAGTTAACAGGTTTCGAAACTTCAAAAATCAACTTTTCAATTGGGAATTGTTTTACGCAAGGGAAAACACACAACTTACTGTAGAGAAATTACTTTATTTGAAAAAGTGACTTCAAAACATGTTATAATCGCTAGAATGCAGAAATACTTTTATTATTTCTTTGTTGTTAAAATACTGAGCATACCATTTCTGTCTATAAAAAGAAAAAAAATATAATCACATTTGAAAAATCAATTTGCTTACAATAATCAAAATGAACTGACAAAACTTGATAAATATACAAATATAAATTTGTAAAAAAAACATATTCGTTTTAGTGTTGAAAAATGAATACCGATTTAGACGGTTTATACCAGAGTCTGGTATATTGTGCATTACATTATCTTTCATGAATAAACCCTAAAAAACAACGAGTCTGTACTTGTTAGCTATTTCTCTTTCTTTCATTGCTACCGTTTATTACCTCTCCAGTGACTATAAACTGTTTGCAAAATGGTTTCTTACTTTTAGAAAATTATGGTTGTGGAAAAATTAATTGAGTTAATTTATTTACAAGTTTATTAAATTTATATTAATGTGGCAAGTGATAGATATGGATGCCACTATTTTATTTGTATTTATGCATTGAACAATTTACAGCAAAAATATGTTCATAAAATTTTATTCCATACGAACAAAGTTACCATTATTATATAAAAGATTAATCTAAATTTGTGTTGGTTTTGATCTATTTGTCCTATAAAAGATTAATAAAGTTTCTGAAACAATATTACATTAACTTTATGATTTCTAGACAATCTCTGTCAAACAGGTTCATGTTGGTTTTGCATAATCATTCATCCTACTCGCTGTACTCTATTTCGATGCAAATATTATTCCTCTGATATTCATTAATAAAAGATTTCAATAATCGCATTATTTGCATGATATCACCCCTTCGTTTCAGAATACAATTAATATAATTTAATTATTTGTTTATAAAGTGTAGTGTAGTGAACACATTTTGTTGTGGTAAAGATATTTGTTGAGTATTAATTTATTATCAAAGTCTAACAACGATAATTTCTATTTTTGCAGCGATGAAGATTTTATTTCATTTTGATAAGGGTACAAAAATAAATAAAAACTTTATGCTTTGTTTTACCGTCAGATTCTGTAGATCTGTTTTGCTTATGAGAATTAAACATCCTATCCATTATAAAATAGATTCGAAAATATATGTTAAACATGCAACGGTTCATTCATTTGTTTAAAAACACAAAATTATAATGATTGTCCTTCTTTATTAAGCTACTAGAATACAAAAAATAAAAATAAAAGATAAAAGGAATAACTGAAATAAAAAGGAGTGAAGTTTATGATTCGAGGCTTTTTAATTATTGTTTCTGGGCCATACATCATAAATATTAACGATAATCTTAAGGGGAGTTTGTCAGACTTATTTAGTCAATATTGAAACATTACAGTTGAAATGAAAGAATATCGTGCCTTTGTTTTGTTGAAACTAAGTAATACAACCAATCAACGTTGACATGTTGTTTGATAGACTAAAAGAAAAGCCAACATGAATATTTCGAACTTTTAACGGATTCCAAAGATAAAAATGATAAACAGTAAGATAAAAAAATCTTAACTAATAGTAACAATTACTTTGTACATTATTCATTATTTGTTTTATTTACTCAGTCCATGTAACCAATATATAAATTATTTTTACTTATCAAATTAAAACAAATCCCATATTGAGAGAAAACACCAACAAAAAAAATCAATTCAAATATGAGCATTTTGTTTTCATTTCCATTGTTTCAAGCCTCATTGATTATTAAAAAAAAACCATCTGAAATTGACAATTTAAATGCTGTTTGAAAAAAAAATTGGGATAAAGAGACAGTTTTCCATAATGTTGTTAAGTAATTCTAAAAAAATGACTGTTCAGAATAACATTTCAAATATATGCAGCGTTTCTCTACAAAAAATAATGCAAGTATAATTTTCTCGTATGGGCAAAGTTTTTGTACATACACTGTGTATTGAAATTCCACGCCTAAAATACGCATAAAAAATCACTTTCCGTAAACGTTAACCTTGCCAATCCTTCTCAAATTAGTATTCTGACAAAAGAGGAATACTGTTTTGAATTTTGAAGTTAAATTTGTTAGCGAAAAAGTAAAGGCAATTATTTTAGACACGAGGTATCTTAATCTAGAAAATTTTCTGAATGAGCTATGGCAGGTTTGCATTTAATTTACTGCATATTCTTATTAAAATTAATTTATCTTTCAACTTATCAAGCGTGTTGCCATCAATTCACAAACGTAATCTGGCACGAAGTCATTACGCAATGCCATTCATCAGCTTTATAAAGTTCAGATTTTGTTTCAGAGGAAGATGAATCGAGGCAATCTATTTATAAAGACAGTATATTGTAATAAACAACTTTAAGTATGCATCTAAGCTGGGAATTAAACCATACAAATGAAACTTTTGTCGTTTTGGAAGAAGTACAAGAGATATATTAGCTTCATGATTATTTTGTTTGT